GGAGTGAGGAGGGGGGACAATAAGGATAGTAGTATCAGTAGTCGAAAACGTGTTTAAAGATGCATGGATTGGGAAACCAGAGACTGGCTAGTTGATAAAGTGGCATGCCTCAGTGCCCCTAACAAGAGTACAAATTCTTCATTATTGGCCATGGTGAGCCTGGTATTTCTGGGGAAGAGAAACAGTCTACGACTCGGCTAGACGATTAACCATGAAAGATGAATCATGAATATATAACCTCTCCAATAGGGATTCGAACCCAAAGTAGATAGGTAATGTCTATGGAAGCTAAGTAGCTCCTAGTTGCACACTCCTTTTAGAGGGTCGTGTATTATTGGTTAGAGTGACCGTCTTGCAAGTTACTTGCAACGGCGGTGAGGGATTGAATCCCTATCAGAGAGGTTATATATTCATGATATCAATGCGTTGGTGCATTATTCCACCTTTCATTGAATACACCTCAGGATTTCTGATTTGGGATTTGAATTGCTCTCTCTATATATACCGAGTGCCCACGGAGAGTGTGTGCAAAATTTCGCTATCCTTACTCATGTATGAGTAGATAGGTAATGTTGTTGAACACTCCTTTTAGTGGGTCGAGTATCAGTGGTTAGAATGACCGTCTGGCAAGTTACTTGTAACGGTGGAGAGGGTTTGAATCCCTGTCAGAGAAGTTATATATTCACAATTAACCATGGGAAAATCGTGTCCATGGCTCCAAAAGGACTGACAGAAAGCCTCCCTCCATAGTTTTAACACAGCTCTTACATCTGAGAAAGTAAACAGATGAACGGATTAGAGAAGAGAAGGAAAATGAAGAAGAAAAAGAGACCAAGCAAAATTGCTTAAGCTATGGGCTGAGGCCCAACATTGGGATTAGTCCCCCGTCTTCTATGGCCACCTCCCTCTATGATAATATGAGATGGGGGGGGGGGGGTCGAGAAAGGATTAAATAATATAACATTTATCTTCATTACCTTCTTCAATGCCTTTTATTAATATGTACAGCAAATAGATTTTCCCCATATAAAATATCTCAATTCAACATTATATTGAGAAGCAAATGAACAATAAACCAAATATATAATTGAGAAGCAAATGCATCACATCATGTGTCCATCATATTGTCATGTGCTACCATGCTACATGTACATGAGTAACACATATATTAAAAACAAAGTACCTATAATCTGTTTCCTTGTATCAGTTCCAGTAACTGTAAAGCTTCATTTATCGTCTGATATGATTACTTCTTAGCTAGAAGAGAATAATTTCTAAGAACATGGACAGATAATCTGTAATTCATTTAAATTAATTAAATTTTTGGTTTCAGATATAGCATACAAAAATATCTTAAAATAATATACAACAAAATATGTTATTATGTATATATATATATATATATATATATATGTATATATATATATAATATACGCATATATGTATGTGTGTGTATGTATATGTATATGTATATGTATGTATGTGTATATTGTGTATATATGTATATGTGTATGTGTATGGTATATGTATATGTATGTGTATGTGTATGTATATAATATAGGTATATGTATGTATTATATATATATATATATATATGTACATATATATATATATATATATATATATATATATAATAATATATATATATATATATATATATATATTATAAATATATAAAAAAAATAAACACCAAGAAGAAAATAGTCTGATCAAGTTTAACTGAAATAATTGCTAATGACACAAAAATCATTGAGTATCACACAGTGTTTGCAACTGTCTTATCATCTTCATCTTCATTAAATGAAGATAACCCAGGGTCTGACATAATAAACACATATGCAGTCTAAAATACATAAGTTAATGCAACTGAGGACACAGTATGTTACTGAGAGAAAGAAGAGGTTTGAGTGAGCCTATTGTAAAGGACAGGACAATACAAGAAGTGTTTACATTTAGATAAATTCTTTGCAAGCAAAGAGGAGAGTTTAATGATTTTACAAGAGAAGAATAAGTAATTTTGTATAACCAGAAGGTATAATTATTATGCTTTTCCAAACAACTTTCAACAGACAGTAGTAATTTAAATGTATTGTTATTATCACTGTTTGTGGGAGAGGCAACTTGCAAAGTGTAACTCCCAGTTGTTTAACATTCCAGTTGCATGTCATCTTGAGTGATGACCTGAAAGGTACACGCAGTGGGCTCGAATCTGCTCTGCTCTTATAACCCAAGTCCCAAATCTGGACACACACTTGCAACATGAGTCAATCAAAGCTCTGGACAGAGAAGCACTCACAAAAAAAGGAGAAGGGAAAAAAAGGAAAATAAAGAGGCAAATATGAACTTATCAAAGGGCTCTTTGTCTTTTATCTGTTCTCTTTCTCTCTCTTGTATGCTTGAAGACAACATCCAGTAAGGTCACACACAGCCCTGGTTTGCAGAACTTGTTCCATTCAACATAAGTTGTTCCTCTTTTGCCACTCTGCTTATGAAGTTCAGATTTTTTTTCATCATACAAATACATAGTTCACATAATCAGGAAATATTTACTTGGGAAAGAGAGGAAAACAGAAAGAAAAGATAGAATGTCTATGGAAAGGTGAAGGATATTTATTTTTTCTTTTCTTTTCTTTGTAGGATGAATCTAAACAAGTGAATAAATTTGGAAGAATTAGCAACAAGAATCACTGTCTGAAACTTGAAACTTGGTTCTGACTGAAGGGAAGCAGCAATGAGGGCTGCTAGTTTACTGTTTCAATAAAAATATCTGCTAATGAGTAAGTGTAAATATCAGGCATATACAAAAAAGAGCATACAAAAATTCAGTTAAAAATACTTTTTCTTTTTTTTTTGTATTTTTCATGTTTGTTTGTTTTTTTCCTATTTTCCCATACAACGTTTTAAATAAATCTTGGCTAAAGCTTTTCCATCTGGACTCATACTCATAAATTCCTGCAGTTCACATCTGTAAAGACTTCCTCAGACTCTGTCTCTTCTTAACACTGACTACTACCCTTTTCTATAAAGAAAATCACTAGAAAAAATAAATACATTGATAGACTCACATATTCCCATTCTCATTTCCATGCATACGTACTTATGAATAAATGAATGAGTGAATGAACTAAAAAGAAAAAAAAAAATGCATCTAAACAAACAAATACAAACATACACACACAATCTGTTTCATTACATAAAAATAAACCTCTATTTATGTGATGGTTTAATGTTACTTTGGTAACTGAAGATGCCAATGATAACCCATTACCAGTAAAGAAAACACAAAGCTCAAACAATCCTTCTATTAACACAAAACTCCCTTCTGTATTTAAGAATAATGACAAGTTGCAAAACACAAAAATACAAAGGCTAAATTCCCTTATCACATGGAAAAAGCTAGTAGCGATTAAATTCATCTCTTATTATCACACAATTTGGTGTCAATAAAATAGTGTCAAACATTGAGTACTGCTGATCAATCAACTAAAATATCATTGTTTAACAAATGCAAATATATTCATATTGTAATAATTAAACTTTGAAACAGCAATACATCACAAAATAACAATATAAATTTCTCTGGATAGAACGCATCACTCATAAAGTAAGTTTGAATAATCCATATCATCAAAACTGACAAGTTTGGGTTTGGGAATACAATTATCATCCTTTTCCTATGAAAATTTCCACCGCTTGTGCTTAGCAATACCTATGTCCTGCAGATGATAAGAAGAGATGTCAGTGCACCAGAGTTTGAGGTTCGTTCAACTCACAATAATCCAAAAGCTCCACACTAGCATCTATATGACTTGTTTTCTCACATATTGGCAAGAAAAGAGGACATGATATAAGCTGTATTGAAAATGTTCAAATATTCTTAAAAAGCCCAAAATAGCCAGTAATAACTTTATTTACACATTCCTATAGAAGTTGTCCCACCACTGACTTGTTCAGCTGATATTAAAAAGGCTGTCTATAGGATACAGTAATATTTCCAAACATTGCACTGTTTGTAGAATGCTGCAAACTCTGGTTAATTCAACCTAAAGTTACAAATGAAGTCAATGACTTCATAAAAATCAATTCAAGCAGTTCTATATACATTTGCTACACAATGAATACACCACACTTTCCCTTCCATTATTTCCTTAAATCATATTGTCAAACTAGCTAACAAAGATCACAATCTCCAGCCTACTTGGTAAGTCCATCATATCATCAAACATAATCTTTGCATTTGACACTCCCCAAAAACTAAATAAAAAAATATGAAAAAGAATGAAAGAAAAAAATCTAGTATATATATATACTGTCTATTGTATTCCATTCCAAAAGAACTCCTGTTGGACACCCACTTCCAGTCTGATGCCAGCTTTGAAGGGGCAGGCTGGGGACCCATGTGCAGGCCAGTGCATAGGCCACAGACTCTGAGACTCCCCTGGAGGCTATATCTTCCATATCTGGGACCAAGAGTGCCAAGTGCTCGAGGCCCAAGTGCCAATTGCAGACCCTGAGTATGAATTGCAGGTTCCAGACTGCAGGTGCAGGTCAGAAAGTCAGGTGGAGGAGGGTCATATAGACCCGGCATTATCACAGGCTGAGCTGACTGAAGTAGCGACGGCAAAAGACGGCAGCAATAGGGGGTGGCGTATCGGAGCGAGAAAGGAGCTTGGTGAAATGGGGTTCGTTTCGCTCGTATGCACGCCGATACTCACGATCAAAGGATGCTGTAAAGAAATGATGTAGGATTAACTTCCTGTTCTATAGATCCTCTAATTATATTTGTGCATCCATTGCCTATTAACCCACTCCCACTAGGGAGTGATGTCCACTATAGTTCTGTTTTGAGATTTTTGTTTGTACATTGATGGCTCTAAAAGTGTACAGCCACAAAGTAGTTGATCAGTAAGCCCTACATGACCTCACCTGATTTCCTTATTCTTTGAATTTTATTTTGAAAAATATTTTTCTTCCAATGCTAATAACATCAAAATTACTATTATTACTGATATCATGATTCTGATGATGTTATTGCCAATAATAAGAGAGTAATAAAGAATTAAAAATTATAATTTGGAGAATCAAGGAAATGGGTACACAAA